TGCCATCGCCTCCACCACTTTTCAGCACCTTTTCAGTGACATCTTCAGGGATCTGCCAAACTACATTGATTACTGACAACATTCCGACTTACTCTGAAGGTATATTTTCCATAACTGTGTCCTCATGTAGCAAAAATATCCAAGAACTTGCCTGTCTATAAAACCAGAGAAGTGCCAACTTGATCAGACTGCTGAGGAATTCTTTGGGTAAGTCATTTCAATGGTAAACTAGTGTGAACCCCAAGATTTAGCCAACACCGCAATAGGCAGTTCTCAGGGGTGTTGAGGATGTTTGGCGCTTCCCTGGACTTACTATTTTTCCAGGGATATATTTAAAGAGGAAAATGGTAGGCAGAGCCCCAGCTGCAAGGCGTTGCTGGCTCCTAAATTCTCTCGCCTTTTGACCTGCATTCTCCCTAGGGTACCCAACTCCCCTGCCACCAACTTTCACCTCTCTGGCAGAGCTAATGGACTAGAGAAGCTTTATCTGGAGGCTAATGGCTTTCACACCAGCAGTGTGAGAGAAACCATGCTGGGCTGCAGTGAGGACCTCTGAAGTGATGTTCTCTGTGATTGCACTGCAGATTTCAGGACATCGCTCTAAGTGAAGCCCTGTATGCTCTCCCTCATCTTCTTTAATTGGAAGCAGATATTGAAACTTCTACTCATGCTCTAAACTGCCTGCATTATCTTGGAGACCAGCTTTAGGACATTCTCCTTTTGGACGCAGGCTTGGAAGAGGGTTTGTTCTTAATGCAGGACGCTCACAGTCCTGTATGAGTTCTTCCCTGGGACCAGCTGGGGACACATGTGACACCAGCAAGCCGTGCAGTGACAGAGTTGTCCTGCAGCATCCTAGGGACATCCATGATGGCTCCAGACCTGTAATCCCAGCTGCATTTGGCTTTGCACCTGTGAGGATGCATCCCAGCAGCTTCCCAGGCTTTGCAGGGTGCTGAGCATCTGATATAACCTCTCTCTGCTGCTACCTACAGAACAAGCCCAGAACAGCCAGACAAGAGGTACGAAGCCACCAGGTATCTCATTTCTTTTTATTTTACTTTTTATTTTTTGGGCTCTCAAAAATGTGCACAGTCTGGATTGAGGTTACAACCTGGGTAATGCCTCCCTGCCTAAAAAAAAGGCAGTTACCATAACAACCTGACTCAGTGCTTCATTACCATGGCAATTCTCAGGAATTATTAAATACCGTGTATGTTTGGTGCACGCACTCTGGTACATCTGGTGCTAGGCTCAGGTTGGGATCCTCCCTCCCCTCTAATCTGTTTATCTATCTTACCTTAACTCTTTCATTGCACTCAGTCAAGACGTTAGGGCTTACCTGGGGGAATTTCTTTTGGATTATTCCCTGTTGCAACATTCCTTGTCCAGGATGGATTTTCCTAGGTGTGTCCAACCACCTCTTCATATCTCCAATTACAAAACTGATGCATTTAACCAAAGTTGAGCAGGCTGCAGGGCAGGAGGGAAAACTCTCCCATCTCCTGTTCCCCTGCTCTCCATTGGGAAATAAGAAACCCAGTTAGAAGAGAGAGCAGGGAAGCAGTCTGGCTTGGGGAGCTCCTGCTGGAGGTAGACATTAAAGTCACAGATCACAGAATGGTTGAGGTTGGAAGGGACCTCTAGAGAACATCTAGTCCAAACCCCCTGCTCCAGCAGGGACACCCAGAGCATATGGCACAAGGTGGCATCCAGGTGGGTTTTGAAGACCTCCAGAGAAGGAGACTCCATGACCTCCCTGGGCAGCCTGTTCCACTGCTCGGTCACCCTCACGGTAAAGAAGTTTTTCTTCACATGGAGATTGAACTGCCTGGGTTTCAACCTGTACCCATTGCACCTTGTCCTGTCACTGGCCACCACCAAGAAGAGTTCGGCCCCCTGCTCCGTACGTTCACCCTTGGACTCTGGACCCAAGTCCGGAGCCTGTTGCTCCTGGTGGGCATCAAGGAGCAGTTCCCATTTGTAAAGCTGCTTGGCTGGCTGTGTACATAGCTCATGGCTAAAACCATGACAGCCTTCAGAGCAAGAGTGAAGACTAGATGGACCCGTGGCTCAGAACAGCATAGCTAGCCCCCAAAATCAATGCAATTGCATTGCTGTCTTGTCTTTCACTGCTAGGAGATGAGTTTAAATTAAATTCAATTTCTGTCTTTCACTCTGTCACTGCTGTGCTCGTCACCCTGAGCACGTCCCTTCCCTCCTCATCTCTCTGCTGCTCTTCACAGCCAGCACTGTGGCTGTGCTTTAGTAGCTTATACAGCTCCTAGCTCCCCGATGAGGGTGGTAGCTAACGTACTAAGCAATGACTCCAAAAATCAAAATTCTGGCCTCCTTTTAAAAAAACTTACAAATGTAAAAAACTTACAGATAAAAAAACTTACAGATTAGGGGTCGACCTGCTGGAAAGCAGCTCTATGGAGAGGGACCTAGGAGTCCTGGTTGACACCAAGTTAACCATGAGTCAGCAGTGTGCCCTCGTGGCCAAGAAGGCCAATGGGATCCTGGCCTGCATCAGAAGGATGTGGCCAGCAGGTCAAGGAAGGTGATTCTGCCCCTCTACTCAGCTCTGGTGAGGCCRCACCTGGAGTACTGTGTGCAGTTCTGGGCTCCCCAGTATAAGAGGGATGTGGAGTTTCTAGAGAGGGTCCAGCAGAGAGCAACCAAGATGATTAAGGGAATGGAACATCTCTCGTATGAGGAGAGACTGAGTGAGTTGGGCCTGTTCAGCTTGGAGAAGAGAAGGTAAAAGAGGATATGATTAACATGTATAAGTTCATGAAGAGAGAATGTAAGGAAGAAGGGGCCAAGCTCTTCTCATTGGTGGCCAGTGACAGGACAAGGGGAAATGGGTATAAGTTGAAACACAGGACGTTCCATTTCCATGTGAGGAGGAACATCTTTACTGTGAGGGTGAGAAAACACTGGAATAAACTGCCCAGGGAGGTTGTGGAGTCTCCTTCTCTGGAGGTCTTCAAAACCCACCTGGATGCCGCCCTGTGCCACATGCTCTAGGTGTGCCTGCTTGGGCAGGAAGGTTGGACTAGATGATCTCTCGAAGTCCCTTCCGACCTTGAACATTCTGTGTGATTCTGTGTGTGATTTATTTCTTTAGAACCAGTGCCTATTGATGAGCTTGAACTAAAGCTGTGTGTAGGAGATGAGGAAACATGGGTAGCTGTGGGGAAAGGTAGGAGAAAGAGCAGTTAATATTGTCTGCTTTTATTACACAGCTCCTGTGGTAACCACCTCTTGCAGGACAGCTCCCAGAGAAAGATTTTGGGGTCTGAGATAGCTGCTCTTCCCCTGAGATCAGAGTATTATGGTGAACCTCAGTGCCCTCCCTCGCATCAGGCAGAACCGTTAGCACCATGGAGGGAGAATCCGGGCAGCTAAACCAGACTTCACCTTCTGAGCAAGCTCCAGGTTGTGATCTGCAGTTGGCTGCAGTCCCCTTCCATGAGTGCCCATCTGTTGCCTTCAGGAGCATCACATTCTTCCTCCATCACCATCACTCATGTTGCCTTTTGYTTCTCTCCACCGGAGGACTCAGGGGCACAAGAGGAATGGAGACTCCCACATCCCACTTCGTGGGAGGTGTCTGAGGATACTTGGTGAGCTCACTGCTGATCTTCTCCAGTTCTTTTTGACACTGGCTGGTGGACRGGTGGGCAAGGGCCAGGCTCCTGTGTAAATTGGAAGGTGGGTTGGAGTGYGGTGAACATACCTGGGCACTTCACTGATACCGCAGTAACCTGACAATGCCATCATACATTTAAGCCCCTTCCTAAGTTTTTTTGCGGAGCTGGGGTCATGGTGTGCATTGGGGGTTCTCTGCATTTCACCCTGATGTCAAGAAGCAGCCCATGACCAGCCGTCCTGCAATGGGAGCAGTTTCCACCCAATCTGGGACAGGTAGAGAGCTGTTCTTCCAAATTTCCATCCAGGTAGATCAGAGCAACTGCTGCTCCAGGATCCAGGATTCTTTCCCACAACAGAAGTGGAGCCAGGAATACTGTTGGCACAACAAATCTCAAATTGCTTCTACCTTACAACCCCAGGCAGAGATGTAATTCCAGCACAGAGCAAAGGTCAGGAGTCCTCCTTCTCTCACACAGTTTGGTTTTGACAGCTCATTGGGATCAGAAGGCTTGGAGATTTCAACTCGAATTCAGAAATCTTCCTTTACAAGATGCGTTTGCCGCATCCTTATGCACCTCTACACTTCAGCACTGGGCAGGTATTAATATGTAGATCCTGGCTACATATTATTATATTATATTTGCTAGTGGAAAATGATAATTGCACTGAGGGAAARAAAAAGGAGGGGGGGGAAGTTGGTTTCTGTTTTCAGTAAATACTTTTAATCAAGAGTTCAGCTCAAAGGTAAGATGCTTGTATTTATCCTGGGAAATACTGTGAAACACCTGAACTACAGACACACACATAGAAAGAAAATGAATGCAACACCACATTCTTTTGAAGTGGGGTTTTTTTTTCCCTGAATATTCACTCGTTTTCCAAAAACAAAAAAACAAACAAACAAACAAACAAAAAAAAAACCCAAAAAAACTCAAGGACTGTAACAATATAGCACTTGAAAAGAAGGCTGTTGTGTACAAAACCAAGCATGCTTTTTATTATTATTTTTGTTTAACTGGGTTCTTTCATTCCTTCGATGTAGAGTGAAAGAAGAAAGTGCCAGTTTGTTTAACAGAATTTCTCGGAAAAACAAGAACATGCTTTCCCTTTACAGGACTCTACCGGAAGATCCATGTTTGAGGTCCAAGAGAGAAACACACGGACACATTTGCAAGCATGCAGACTTTGTCGGCTGACCCACGTGCCAATTCCCTGCCCCATGGCCGAAGCCTGGTCCAAGCCACACATTTTGGTTTCCCTTTGCTTCATTTTTCGTTTTCTTGCTTTTAGTGCTTCCCCTCTCTCATTTTTTATTTTTTTTTTAGCCCTAACCCCCCAGGTAACAGTATCCAAGGTAACAGCAGAGAAGAGTCCGAATCTGCACATTATCACCATTTCTGCAAGTTTCATGCAAAACTTAAATCATTTCTGCATGCAACACAAGGCTGGTCACACCAGGCTGTGCTTTGTATAGCTCAGAGAAGACTTCCCCATTTGGCACAGAAGAATTTGGTCCTTGGGAAGCTCAGAAGGTCTCTGTGGACACAGATATGGTAGAAGGACCCCCACCCTTCTTGCCAGTCCCCACATGCCCCAAAGCTTGAGCATCTGCATCTCTGCACCGGTTCACTTGCCTACACAAGCCCGGCGACTTCAGTAAAGCCCCATGATTGCRGCACCCACGTCCTTGGAAGGTCTCCGGTCCTTCACCAGAAAGTTAATCATGCTCTCTGACTTGATGAGCAAGTTGCAGCCCAAAAAGAAGATGCCGAACATGACTGTCAAGGAGAGGACGCAGAGGACGGCGATCTGCACCACGCGGGTGATGTAGAGGCTCCGCTCGTCGGGCACGAGGACGGCGGAGCCACCGTCGTTGGCCAGCACGGCGCCCGTCCCGTTGCAGCAGGCCATGAGCATCCCCAGGCCCTGGGTCCTATTGGGGTGAGCCCCGGCCTCCAGGAAACTCTGGTTGAGAAAGGTCTCGTTCATGCTCCAAGCGCAATCCCAGATCTCCAGGGAAGGAAATGTTGGCTTCCACCTGCCTGCCGCTCAGGTCGGTGCCATGGGCTGGCGGGCTCCAAAACTCCTCCCTTCGTCTCACGCCGCTTCAGATGGAGGAGAAACGTCCTCGAGGAGCCCCCAGCAGGAGCCACGTGTCCCCTTACCTCCAAGGTGCCCCAAGCCAAGCGCACGGTGCCTGCAGCGCATCCGCCGCTGGAGCACAGAGCCACTTCCCGCGGGCTCCACAGACGCAAGTCCCGAGCTCAAGTCTTACCGTGTTCAAAGGAAAACCAGCAACTCCACCCCCTGGCAGCCCCCGCACCGCCTTCCCCCCTCGCAGCGCTGAGCGGGGCCAGACCCCCCCGGGGCACTGAATCCCCCAACCTGCCACCTCCCCGTCCATCCCTGCGCGCCGCGGGTCCCTGTCCCCCCGTCTCTCCTGGCCAGTGTGGCGCTCACGGCAGCTCTGAGCCACCCACTCGTTTCTCGGAGCATCCAGCCCCGCGCGGAGCTGCCTCTCGGCTCCCTGTGGGTGGGAGCTGCTTCCATCCCTCAACCCCCTCTCCCTGCTCATGCCGGGCACTTTTGAGCCCAGAAGAGGGAATGTGGATCCTCTTCCTTCCTCCCTTTAACCCTCCCCAAGAGGATATGGAGCTGTTGCACCCCTGGGTGTCCCTTATCTGTCTCCCCCAGGTCCTACAGCAGCATCACTGCTGTCCCCAGGCTGCAGTGTCCCAGTCCTGCCTTCCCTGTGGGTCCCTTCAGTCCCCCAGGTCAATCCCAGGGAAGTTTTGCAGCCACTTCATCCCAAACATTGAACAAGGGGTAGAGGGTGCCCCGCAGGTCCCTGTCCTCCAGCCCTGGCCCTTGACCTTGCAGGGAGCCGCTCTCGCCACCGAGGCTGCTACAGTCACTGTCAGCAGCATCCCAAAGGAAACACGTCCGCCAGGGCACATCCTCCGAGGAGGTTTTAATAAACCAGAGAACCAATGCACCACGGCAGCACGGAGGTGTGGGAGGAAGGCCAGGCGAGGGTGAGGGCCAGCTTGGTGCACRTGGTATCATGGGTTCCCTTTGGAAGAACAATTCTCCTTCCAAAGATTTCCACATTACCTCCATTTCACTTTTGTGACAGGTAGGGTAACAAAGCATTTGTTTGGGGTGAATTTCATGCTTTTTCCTGCTTGTTGTTTCTAACTTCCCCAGAGGGCTGCCTGACCCACGAGGCTGTGTGTGTTCCCAGAGCACTGAGGGATGCAAGAGGAGACGCTTTGATCCAACATGGATTTGTGCCCAGGCTTAACATGATGGCCAGAAGAAATCCCACTGGGAAAGCAGAGCATCCCAGATGCCGTGTGAGGAGCCCAGGAGGGATCTTCACTCCTCTCAGCTCACACTCCGGAATTGAAGGAGTTTCTGCTCCCTCTGGTGGCTTCAGCTCCAGCCTCTGCTGCCTCCTTCCCTGTGTGTCCCAGTGAGGATTCCTGCAGCTCACAACTGCTTCTCTTGAGCTCTTTCCCTCCGTGCCTCAGTTTCCCCATCTGTGGAACTGCACAGAATGGAGTCCTGGCTTTGGAGAGCAGCTGCTCCCGCAGGTACTTTGTGTGTATGCGTCTCACTCRCTGTCTATGCTCCTGAACAGGAATAATTTAGGAGGACACAGGGAGAACCTGCACAAGGGAGAAGAGAATCAGACTCAGATTATCAGATCCGAATCTGAACTTCTCTCCTCTTTCAGATGTCTGCTTGAAATCCAAAGTCCCAAAGAGCAGCTGACCACAGGCACCAGGTCCAGTTCTTGGTTTCTTCCTTGGCTCTCCCTCAGWTCCCAGCTTTAGGAATGGGGCTGTTCCCATCCCCACCAGTGGAAAAGGGTGGCTGAGAACCCACGTTTTCACCTCTACTTTTAGGCTCCCTCCTCTTCCCTTCCTCCCAGACATGGTAGGGTTAAAATCCAGGCTGCCTCCCTTGCGAGGGTTAATAAAAAGAAGTGAGCCAGATTTAGCAAGGAACTACCCCAGGGGTGGGAAAAGCCGTGAGGGTCCCAAACATTTCTACTGCATCCTGAAGAACCACGGAGCAAATAAGCCTGAGGGGGGCACTCCCCAATGCAGAGGGCCCCGCGGAGCCGTTTCCTAGTCCGGCCCCGCCGCTTCGTGTCATCCACCCGGCCCATGATTCATCCGTGGGCTGCTCAAAACCTCCGGCCACGCCGGGACCGCTCTGCGTTGCAGCCGTCCGGAGCCTCTGGCCGGGACACCATGGGAACGCGCTGCCGAGCCCTCGGCATCGCCGCCATCCTGCTCTGCATTGCCGCCGCCCGCGGTAGGTTCACGGTCCCCAGCGCTTTACGGTCCCAACCTAAACCCTCTGTGGCTCAAGGGCCAGTGTGGGAGGCAGCAGCTGTGCCCGTCCTTACTGTGTCCCTGACTTTTAAGGGTATTTCTGCCAGCATTGCTACACGCTATCATTTTTCTCTGAATTTTGGTGCTTTTCTTTGAAATCCCTGGTTTCTGGCTTTGGGCAGTTACAGGAGGAATGGAGCTTGCATTAAAAAAATAAACCCCGGTGCCCTGGGTGTGGAGAAAAAGCTAAAAAAAGTGACCGGGGTGTCTGTTAGGTGCTCAAACACTCCAGAAAAGAAAACTTGCAGTCCCAAAACAGTGCTTTTTTTTTTTTTTTTTTTTTTTTTTTTTTTTTTTTTTTTTTTTTTTTTTTTTTTTTTTTTTTTTTTTTTTTTTCTAGTTTATAAATCCCTCTTTGTTTTCAAGGCCCAACTCCAGAGGATTTGGGGACAATGCTGTCCCTAAGAAATCCCAGGCTAAATTCCCAGCACTAAAGTGTGCCTGTAGGAACAACGTAGCCCCATGGCTGCATAGGCAAAGGCAGGAAAGAGATGTCTCCGGTAGGATGTGTAGGAATTAGTGGGTGTTTGAACGTCGGGAGTGGAGGAGCGGAGTTTGGAAGGACGGGAGCTCTTCTGTGGGACCCACTGTGTGGGGGGCACCTACTAACAGCATTAAGGCAATGTGCAGTGGTACCTGAGCTCCATTTGGGGCATCTTCTCTACAAGAAGATCCTGGGAAAAAAGGAGGGATTCCAAGAAAATACAGAGCCCCAGGATGGCGCAGGCAGGAGCTCAGCAAGAAAAGCCCCCATATCCTTATTGTTTAGGCAAGCTGAGAGTGCTGGGAAAATGCAAGCAGGGCTGGTGTGAGCCTTTACGGATGTGAAGGCTSCTGGGTGCACATTCTTGCACATATTAACAGGGAAAAAAAAGAAAAAAAAAAGGGGGGGGGAAAAAAGTGGATTGTGTGGGGAGAAAGTTCCTGGAGAGCCTGAGTAATCGTCCCAGTATGGTGGGACAATGCTTGGCCGTTGGGCACCCAGTTCGCGCACTGGGACACCGTGACTCTTTCTTGTACTGTGGAGTCAGTCACCAGTCTCGGCGAACTAGATGTACCAAGATTTTATTTATTTATTTATTTAATCATCTATTCCTCRGGATCAGATTGTTATATGAGCCTTGCTGCTTTGGCACTAAGAAAAAAAAATATGCAACTTTAGAGTTTCAGTTTATTAGCTTTTGTGGCTGGAAGAACAAGCTCAAAACATGGTAGGAGAAAAAAGGTAGAAAACACAGGAATTATTATTTTAGGAGTCTTGTGATTTTACACTAATCTCTTAATGCAGGGGTTATGGATCTCCTGCCAGCAGTGCCCTGTGGCCTGGACGTTGCTGCAAGCAGCCAACGGAAAAGCCAAAGGGCATTGGTCTGGCTCTGGTGCAATCAAAGGAGTTGGACAGGGTGTCATTAACCTGCTGGTGGGACCCGAGCCCGGGTAGAAATCCTGAGGTGCTCATGGGGCTGAAAGCGCAATGCATGAAAGCAGAGCATCCTCCACTCTCCTCCTCCACATCCAGAGAGCTGGAACCGCCACTGGAGAGGCCACCAGGAGCTCGGGGACAGTGGCCAACACACCTGGCCACACCTGAGGACGCTTTCTGCAGGATGCCAGGGGCATCCGGGGCAGGAGGGCACCTCTGGGCGCTGCTCATGAAACGTTCAGACTGTAAATGGGTTGCACAGCTCTGGCATGGGAAGGTCCAGGGCAGGGATGGAGATGCGGGCAAAAGGGAGTGCTGAAGGCATCTCGTGGTGCTCCAGAGCAGCCACCACAGCTGGTGGTGGCAACCACAGGAGAGGAACCCTAGGACTGACATGCAGTCCAGTGGCAGGGGGATCTGCACCAAGCACTGGGAGCAGATGAGTCCTTTGGAAGAGAGGGACCTTTTGCAGCCCCTTAGTCCCAGGGCTCAGGTTTTGCCACATGTCCAGTTGAATTGGAGGCTGTCTAGGGGTTCCTTGGCAGGAGCAAGGTTGTAAATCCTCCCACATTTTGTCTCACAGGGTCTGGGGCTTATGCTGCAGTGGCCACAGAGCCCATCAACTATTTCTCCCCCATCAGCCACAGGGAAACTGAGGCAGCAGGTTGGGGACTTGTCTCAAGACCTGGGAATAGATGCAGGGATGGGCAGCAGTGGCTCCCATGTTCCCAAGCCCTGCGAGGGCCTTTCACCCTGTCCCGGCACCAGGAGTCTGGATGTCCCTGCTGTTATTTCTGCCCACACGCTGCAAGCAGCAGGGCACTGAGTGGCCAGAGCAAAATGTCCCCTGTGAGCCACATGAGGCCAGTCTTGGGAGCTGGATTGTCACTGGGGCTGAGCCCTGTGCTCAGCAGCCCTGGGCACTGCCCTTGGACTCGGGCATCACAAACCCAAACTGCTGTGTGCGTTGCAAGCCCAAACTGCTGCGTGTGCAATTCTTGCATTTTGGGCAGCCTGGTTCCTTAAGGGAGCTGCAGGTGGGAAACAAGGCTCAGTAACAGGCAGGATGCATCCCAGCTGGTCCCGGGCTCTGGCGAGTGGGTTTGGGTGGGTATAAAGGGGACAGCACCTTGGAGACTTGCCTCCTGTAGGCTCTGGCTGACAAAGCCACTGACTGAGCACTGATGCTTCATCACACAGGTGGGTATTGCTTGCGGGGGGATTGTGCCGGGCTCTAAATCCTCTCTGTGCTGCTGYTGCAGGGAGCAACATCTGCAGAACACGGGGGGTGACCTCCTGCAAGCAGTGCCTGGCCGTGAGCCCGCTGTGCGCCTGGTGCTCCGCAGAGGTAAGAGAGACCCCGGGAGGCTGCTGGCCATTCCTGTCCCTGCCCATGTCCTGGACAGGTTTAATACTGTTTAAAAGGAGCTTTTCTGTAAAATTTGCTGTTTTAAAAAGCCTTTTTACCCTGGGAGGATGGGGGTGAGGGGAAGTCTAGCCTTTCATAGAGGCCAGCATTAGAGAGGTAGCACCTGGTTTTATTTACTGAACTAAAGATGATGAGGGGGAAAAAAAAACACTGATTTTGGGAATCCTTGACCACTTATCACTTCCCTGCTTGCTGATCCTTTCCCCCCACAAAAATTGACCCACCTTTACAGCTGAACTGTAGCTCTAAATCCCTTTGCTTGGGTGGACAAATCTGCCAAGAAACCTTTCAGAAATACTGCCTGGAGGGTTTGTTGTTTGGGAAAAGCAGTGGGAAATTTCCCAATACTGATCACATCTGGTGAGCAACCAGCCCTGGGGGAGAGACTGTGGGGAGATGCAAACGAAATTCCTCCGGGGCTTGAGTGAGGTATTGCCTTAGAAATGTGGCTCTTGCGTGTGGAAAGGGCCCCAAGGAAGTTCCCTTCCTGCCAGAGCCTCCCTGTGCCCATCAGATATGGGGAGTTTTGCCCTTGCCATGCTCAGCTCCCAGGGTCCCTATTTTTCTCCAGCAAGGAGCATCTGGATATTGCAGTGGCCCTTGCCTGGCCTTCCCAGTCTCCTTGCTGTGTCCCTGTGCTGCAGCAGGGCCATAAATTCCCTTTCCTCCCATGTGCAAAGGTTTCCAAAAAAGGAAATATTTTCATTGCTGCTCTTGGGCAGAYGTGACAAGCAGCAAGGCGGGAGCCGCCCTGGCCCCTGCGAGCCGGGCTGTGCTGCCCCATCGCTCCCACATCTGGACCACATTGTCTTAATTTAGCAAAATGAGAGGTTTTTTTCCTGCGGGTTTGTTTAATTTCCCTGGGGTAGGGGAGGTCTCTGACCCTGCCCCCTGCTTTTTTTAAAGGGACCATGCTCTTATTTGTATCCCTCCGTTTCCCGCTGTACTTCTGCTTCAATCTGGCTTTTTTGCCCATGGAATGAGGGGATAGTGCTCATTCCTGCTCCAGCATGGGCTTGGACAGGGGCAAGAAGGAGGATTCAGATGTTTCTCCTCAGTTGCCTTGGTTGCCTTGGAGCAAAGCGGCTCACTAGGGGGTGATTTAGTGAGGCAGCTGGAGGTTTCAGCTTCATCTTTGGAGGTCTCTGTGGCCTTAGGTCCTCCCATGAGGTCTCCTGCAAGGCGGCAATGGGGAATGGCCCCAGGATGTGGGGTCCTGCAACCTCCCACTGCCGCAGGTACCTGGGGCTCTTGGATGTGATTGCCTCTGCCAAGCATCCCTGAATATCCATCCTCACTTCCAGGATCCTTTCCTGCTCATTCCCTGACCTCTTTTAGCTGAACTTGGCTGAAGAGGCTCCTGTGAGCTCTGAGCTGATGGTGATGTTGAGGGTTGCCAAGAAAGGGGAAGGATGTGGCCTTGCGGTTAACGGGCTACCTCCCTGGGTATCGCATCACAGCGACGCTGCTGAGCCTTGGACACGCTCGATGGCCTCAGAAAGCCTTAGAGCCCCTCTCTTTGCTCACCAGCTCTTCTTCCAGGTATCCTCCCAATAGGTATGGGGGGAGGGATGTCCCCCAGTAGGGACAGGGATGTATGTGATGGCATGATGGGGTCTGCTGTGAACCCAATCTATTTTCCAGTGTGGTTATAGCAGACAGGCATGCCCCTAGAGCTGCGTTTGTCCTGAGGTTTTGCACAGTTCCTTGGTTCCAGCCACAGGGGAGTCCCGCAATGCCAGCCAGAGTGGGCAGCTGGGTGCAAGAGAGCAAGTTTAGGCAGGGAGCTCATCCTGGTTACCACCAGCAACCTCTCCAAGCAAACAGGGTGGAAGCTAGAGGCTGTGGAGGAGGAGCATGTCCCTGATGATGTATTTTCTGGCTATCGGTTGAATTGAAGGAGGAGAAAAGGCAGATAAGGCCCCAGTTTCCAGAAGGGCTGTAGGCCAGAAAGGGCCTCCCAACGCTGTTTGCTTAAAACACACATAGTAATTTCTGGGCTCAGGCAGCCTAAGCATATCTGTCACACATCCCAAATAGCAGCTGATGTCCCAAGCTGAGGATTTCCCCCAGGTGCTATGAGGTTGCAGAGCTGGAGTTTGGCATCTCTTTGCCCCAGGAATAGGGAGCTGGAGAACTCAGTCCCAGATTGTGCTGCATCCTTTTGGCCAGAGGAAAGGCTGGGTTTGGGTCTGTGCGGGTCACCTGCCAGGAGGCTTTGCATGTAGCAAGATTTGGGCTTTGCTCTTCAAGAAGGGACCCAGAGGCCTGAGAAACACTTTGGTGGGAGCAGAGGAGCATCTGCTGCCCAGCTGGGATGTGCTGCTGCACATCCCCACCCTGTTGGGCTGGGAGGGAAATGTTCCCATATTTATCTTGGAGAAAGGCCATCAGCAGGACTGGGCAGGGGTGGGATAAACCCTGTCTGTTTGAGATGTGATAAGGGGGAAGGAGCTGGGAGGCTTTCTAGGAAACAAGGGATGGGGCTGGAAGTTCACAGTGACTTCAGCTTGGAGTTTTCCTGCCCCTGATGGATGTGTGACAGCTTCTCCCGCAGCTTGCTGGCCCCCTCGCTCTTTCACTCCTTTTTTGGTTCTCCTTTTCCCTGTCTGGCTCTATCTAGCAGGAAGTTGGAGAGCTGGAGATAAGCTTGACTGGTTTTCAGACAGGAACCGAACTTCATTTCATACAATGGGCTCAGCCCTACCAGGCCTGTTCCTTACTCACAGCAAGTTTAAGACTGCATGTTGACAAAGAGGCAGGGAAAAGCTGACTTTTCCTGAAGCTTAGAAAACCCCCCAAATGTCCCAAGCTTTGCCCTGTTGGCATTCATGTCCTGTCTCACCTTACCCTGGCACCAGGTAGGACCTGGTGCCCATGCCTGTTAGCTGTGCTGGAAACCCATCTTGAGGCTATTGCTATGAGGAGCCAGGAGGGTTTTCCCTGGTGAAGGATCTTCCCTATAGAAAAATGGACTGTCTCTTCTCCACCCCACCACCAAAGGGGTTGGTGCCTGGTCCCCTTGGCTGCTGACTCCATCCCTCCCCTGCAGGTCTTGGCCCAAGGATCTCCTCGCTGTGACCTGCACAGCAACCTGCTCCAGAATGGGTGCGGGCCCAACCACATCGAGTTCCCAACCAGCAGCGTAAAGATCCTGGAGGACCGGCCCCTCAGCAACAAGGGCTCGGGAACCTCCATCACCACCCAGATGAGCCCCCAGAAAATAGAGCTGCACTTGCGACCAGGTAAGGGTCCCAAGGTTGGCAGGGTCAAGATGATCTATTTGAAAAGGTTTGGGCTCTCTGAATCTTTTTAGTGAAAGACAGCTTGTGTCTAGCAAGCCATCAACTGGTCTGGTAGGTTTGAACTGCCACCAGGTCCCCTTTTTTACCCAGGCTCACTTCAACCAGACAGAATGGAACCAATTAAATGTTATGGTTGTTTGCAATCTTGCACCACCACCTCTTGCTTCCTTGAACATTCAGGAGTTTAAAGTGACATTGGGCACAAGGCAAGACTAAGTCTATCACGTGCCCAAGGTCACAAAACTGATTTGTGGAGATCAGACCAAAATGGTGCTGTCATGCCCTGCTCTGGTGTGTTGCTCATCATGCACTCTTCTTAATGGTGAACTGCTCTGGTGGTGATGTGAAAGGAGCCAGAAGATGGGAAAAACTTGAATTGCTCAACCTGGCACAGCTGTATGTAAACCCAAGAGCATTTCCTCCTGCTTTGGAGGGAGGAAAGCCAGAGAGGGGTAGATGGAGTGGCCATGGCAGTCTCTCATGAGTCTCCTTCTGCCCCCATCACTGTGGTATCTAAGCACGTGGTAGGGAGGTAGCTAGCCTCTGTCACACATGATTTGGTCTCCTCCTTCTCTTTGAGACTTCAAAGCTCTTCCCTCACAAGAGCTTTTGCTCATAGTTTCCAGACATGACTGGTAGCTCCTTTGGATGCAGTCCCTGGGATGATTCAGTAGCCAGTGGGGTCCTTGGGTGCCTTCCATTCTCAGCAGGAACAGATTTCAGCTCTGTGCTCACTAAAACCCTGGGGCCAGAGTTCAGTGATTAGTAGCATGTGGCTCCATTCCTATCCATGGGTCTGGCCATGGAGTATCCTGAATAACAGCAGTCTGACATGTCCTCTTCCCTGCAAAGAGTGAGGACATGTAGCTTCTAAGCAGTCCCTGCTGTCTTAGGTCAAAAGATCTTTAGCAAAGAGTAGGCACATGCATTGCTCTAGAGAAAAACTGAGGCATGGAGGACCCTTTCCTTGGTGGTAGTAGTAGATGAAAGTCCTGACTTAGTACTGTTTCTGCTCTACCAAGAAAGTTCAGTGTAAATTATGTTCATGGATTCACGAATCAAAATACTGAAGGATGTGGTCATAATAGCTCATAGCCTCTGATCTGGAGTTAGAGGCCATCTGGGATGGACCCCATCTGTCTATGGGGTTTTAGCTCAGCAAGGAAAATGGACACTTCATGAACAAAATGTCCAGATTCCCAAGATACATGGTGGTGCTCTGGCCATCCAGCTGACCTTAGGACAGCTGGATAGGGGATGGAACTCTTTGTTGTCTCCTTGATCTTGAAGATACTTTCTCCATCCTGAAAATCAAGATCCCAGATGTGCAAATTAAAAATTAAAAAGAGAAGAGGGATGGGGGGAAAATGGAAATAACTAGGGAAAAGTTAGAGCTCTTTTTCTCCAAACTTGGTGTTCTGAGAAGATTGCAGCTGTGTCCTAGCTTACAGTTCAAAGTGGCTGCTTCAAGGGACAGCAAGAAAGAACCTTTGTCTTGTTTAAAATGCAGAAATAAAAGGTCAACCCTAAGTGTTCTCAGTCTCTTTTTCAAAGGGTAGAAGTCACTGAAACTGGCCTGCTCCCCAGAAGTGTGCTGGTCCTGTCTGAGGAGCTTTTTGTTTCAATGGGGGGGGGGGGGGGAGGGGGAAAGTTTTACGAAAAAAACCTTTTCAGTGGGGGCTGGGAGGAACCAAGAGAAGTGAAGTCAAGGGCTAGGATGAGAGGCTTTGAGAGATGTCCTGAAGCTTCAGGAGCCCAGAGAGGCCCTTAAGCAACAGGAGAAGAATCCTCCTCTGAGATGAGCCCTCTTTGCTCCTTTCCATGGAGAATCTCTCACACCACAGCCATGTTGTATTACAGATGACTCCCAGATCTTTCGTGTCCAAGTACGCCAAGTTGAAGACTACCCCGTAGACATCTACTACCTGATGGACCTATCCAACTCCATGAAGGATGATCTGAGGAACATCCAAAACCTGGGCACCAAGCTGGCCAGTGAGATGCGCAAGCTAACCAGCAACCTACGCATTGGTTTTGGGGCCTTTGTAGACAAGCCCATTTCTCCCTACATGTATATATCTCCTCCACAAGCCATCATGAATCCTTGCTATGAGTAAGTCCAAACCTGCTGTATTGGCTATCAACAGCTAGGGAGGCCTGTAAAAGCCAGAAGTGGATAGGATGCCCCTGGGCTGCAGCTGCATTTTTATTTTGGTGTTTTGACTTTGTTACACTGGGAGATACAAGACACGTAGCTGGGATGAAGCAGTGGAGCACTGCTGATCACATCTGCTGAGGACTTGGCACTTAGCATCCAAAAACAGATGCAGTCAGATTCCTGGGTTCTGCTTCTGGCTCTGGTGCAAACAAGGCTTCACCACTCCTCAGGAAAGATGCTGAGGTTTAAATATAGTAAAGAGCTTCTAAAAATCCCATAATATCCACTGTGCTGGCCATGGGAATTGGAATTTCCAGCAGGAAAGACTGGGAGATGTGATTCCCATAGTCAAGTTCTCCAGAGCTTGTCCACCAGAGCTTCAAGTCATCAGATTGATGCAGGGGCTGCTGATAAGAGCCAGAGGGGTTGAGTCCATACTGGGGTAAGGGCAGAACTTGAGGTGAGTTGATCCCCTATCAGTTGCCTCAATTTCTCTTCCTCATTAGTTTACTTAAGATCTGGACCAGAGCAAGAGCTGACAGCAGTGCCAATGTCCTGTTTCTCAGGCCTGCTGAGAACAAGAATAGGGGGCTATTGTGCTGCATGTGGGAAGGCTTGCGCTAGGAGGTGGCATCCTGTGGAGAACCATGGGATGGGAGTTGGGATGGGGGACGTAAATGCCCAGTGAGCCTCGAGCCCAGGGCCCTGACTGCTCTGCTCCCCCAGGATTGGTGAGACCTGCCTGCCCATGTTTGGCTACAAACACGTTCTAGCGCTCACAGATGAGGTGACCCGCTTCAATGAGGAGGTGCAGAAGCAGAGTGTCTCGCGGAATCGTGATGCGCCTGAGGGCGGCTTTGATGCCATCATCCAAGCCACTGTCTGCGATGTAAGAACATCTGGCCAGGGCAGGGAGAGGGTAGTTGGGCTGGCTTGATGGATCAGTCATCGAACCCTGCCAGGACTGCATCTCACTGGACAATAAACCYTGTGGAGCTACAGCAGGGCTGAAAATCAGGGTAGAATGACCATTGATAAGGGGCTTTCCCAGACTGAGAGCCAAGGCAAGGGAAAAACCAGGCCCTGATGTGGTTCTGGAAGCAGAGTGGGACCTTCAGAGGCTGATGGGACAACTCTTCATCAGTGCTGGAGTAACCAGCGCTGAAGGGAAGTCTTCTTTTGTGCCCGCACTTGGATTTTGCTCTCTTCTAGAGGGTGGATGGTGGGGTGATGGTGGAACATGTCGATACAACACTGGGAGCTACCTGTGTCCTCACTGCAGGAGAAAATTGGCTGGAGAAATGATGCTTCCCACCTKCTGGTCTTCACCACGGATGCCAAGACCCACATTGCGCTGGATGGGCGCCTGGCAGGCATCGTGCAGCCCAATGATGCCCAGTGCCACATTGACAAAGATAACTTCTACTCGGCTTCCACTACACAGGTAAGTCAGGGTCCATGTGTGGGCTGGAGGAGGAAACCTGCCCGTTCCATAGGTGTAGGTGTCCACAGCAGGGTGTTTTATCCATTTTGAAACAATCAGAGGAGATCTTGCAGGAGCACTGCCTGCTAAATGTGTGTGTGTGTGTGTGTGTGTGTCTCTCACAAATGTTGAACATTCTCTGCATTGCCCCGAGGAGCAGTGCCTGGCTCTTAGCAGAGAGATACTGCTACTCCTAATGTGATCAGACCAGCTTTCGGGACACCAGAATCCTGCTCAAGATCATGGACCTGTCTGGCCAGGGAAGTGCAGTGGAAACCAGGGAGGTTAAGGATATGTGGTCCCAAGTTATTCCTCTTTCCCTAGGACTACCCTTCACTGGGCCTGATGACTGAGAAACTCTCGCAAAAGAACATCAACTTGATCTTTGCTGTGACGGATACTGTGGTTGGCCTCTACCAGGTAACAGCTGCTAGTCAAACAAGACCTCTTGCCAAGGTGGCTGGTGGAGTCCCAAGGAGCAGCTTCTCCAGCAGCCTGGGCATGGCCTGCCAACTCCATATCCTCACAGTCGTGTGAGGAGAGCCAGCCCACAGTCTGTGAGAAACCCGGCTTGGCTTGGGAAGCTCTTGCATGTTCAGGCCCAGCTGTGTCGTGTTGAGCCATCACGAGCAGACTGTGCCTCTGTTTTCTCACTAGAACTACAGCGAGCTCATCCCGGGCACAACGGTGGGGACCTTGTCCAGAGATTCCAGTAACGTCCTGCAGCTCATTGTGGACTCTTATGGGGTGAGTGTGCGGGACCCATTTCTCTGGAGACTGCAGAGCGGGGCTGCCTCCTTGTTTTAGAAGAGCAGCTCCTTGCAGGACACAGAGAACCTTGCCTTGGGCTCTGGCCTTGACTTGGGTCCYTTCTTGTCCTCAAAGGCCTTTCTTCCCACATCCTAGCTGTCACTGTCCCACAGGGCTGAGCCCTGTCTGTCCTGTGCTTTTGGCTCCATCGCTTTCTCTTTGATCCCTTGGCAGAAAATCCGCTCCAAGGTGGAGCTGGAGGTGCGGGACCTCCCCGAAGAGCTGTCCCTGTCCTTCAATGCCACCTGCCTCAATGACGAGGTCATCCCAGGGCTCAAGTCATGCATGGGGCTCAAGATTGGAGATACGGTGAGACTTCCAATTGCCTTCTTGGTCTTCCTTCCCCTCTCCGTCTTCTTCAGTCTTCCTTGGTCTTCCTCTGAGCTGCACCACTGAGAGCGGGGAGCGCGGTCCCCAGGCTCACGGTTTGTCCATCCCTGTGTTGACACCTGGGTGCTCTTCCCAGGTGAGCTTCAGCATCGAGGCCAAGGTGCGGGGCTGCCCGCAGGAGCGACAGAAGTCCTTTACCATCAAGCCGGTGGGCTTCAAGGACAGCCTCACGGTGACGGTGAAGTTCCAGTGCAGCTGCTTGTGCGAGGCCGGCGCTGAGGCGGGCAGCGCCGCGTGCAGCCAGGGCAAYGGCACGCTGGAGTGTGGCGTGTGCCGCTGCAACGCGGGGCGCCTGGGCTCGCGCTGCGAGTGCTCCGAGGAGGAGTACAGCCCCTCGCAGCAGGACCGCTGCAGCCCCCGCGAGGGCCAGCCCCCGTGCAGCCAGCGGGGCGAGTGCGTGTGCGGGCAGTGCGTGTGCCACAGCAGCGACTTCGGCAAGGTCACGGGCAAGTACTGCGAGTGCGACGACTTCTCCTGCGTCCGCTTCAAGGGGCAGATGTGTTCAGGTGAGCGGCGCACTGCGGCGGGCAAGGGGAGCGCGCTCTGGGCACGCTCGGCAGCCAACAGCACCTCCTGCTGCCCAAGCCCACCTAGGATGGAGGTCCCATGGAGCTTGCCCCGCATGTCAGAGCAGGGAATATGGCAGGGATGCCTCTGCACTGCCCTTCTTGTCCCTTGGATGCAGGATAGCTGGGGTGATTTGGACAGCTACTGCTTTTCCCTTTCCCTAAGTGACTTGGTGTCTCTCAGCTTGCTCTGGGGGGACATTGGGGACCCCTGACCCAAGCCTGAGGTGGATTCTTTTGGGCTGGGGTCTCCTCAACACCATCAGAGGACCTAGATGGAGAGGAGGGCTGCCCCCCTCACTGGCTCCATGCAGCCCTGGAGCCACCAAGCAACTGGAGCAAGGGGGAGAAATGGCTCCGTTCTGGCAGCCTTTTCCACTTTTGCTCTGCCCATGCCCAAAATTGACAGCTTGGTGACAGGCTCCTGGGGTTAGAGAGGGGCCTCGCTCCCTGCTTAGGCTCCAATCCACGCGCTTCCACAGCCCAGATGAAGCTGAGATAATGCTCCGCAAAAGGAAACCCAGGGGCAGTGGGAGAGGAGGGTGGGGAGGGAGATCTGGGGTTTGAAGGAGATGAAGTACTACTTTTTCCCTCCACCCAGTTGTTAAAGCACTCCTTGTTGGAAAAAGCAATGGGGAAGCAACAGGGCCTGATTGATCGAATATTCATCTACTTGACTTGCTATCAGCCCCTGCCTCCAGCCCTGGCTCCCGCCAGTTTTTCATTCCTGCACTAGGGCCGGTCTGTCCTGGGCGCCCTTGCAAAACAACCCCCAGCAGCGCTCATTCAACAAGTCCTGATGTGCCAGGACCCCTTCCCCATCCCCTGCCCGCTCACCGGTGAGCACGGGAGGCTGTAGCAACATGGCACAGGGAGCCGCATCCTGGTGAGCACGGAATGCTGGAGCAGCCCMGTGCAGGGAGCCGCATCCCGATAAGCACGGGAGGCTGGAGCAGCTCAGAGCTGCCTCCCAGCTGTGCAGGAGCCGGGGTGGGGACGGCAGCGCCCGGGGCTCGGACGTGAACTCGCAGCGCGTCACCTCCCCATGCCGAGCGCTCCCCAGGGCTCCCGCTGAGCTCAGAGGCCGCGGGTGCCAAGTGGGACGCCCTCCCCTTCCCGCCCCACGCTGATTCAGCTCCTCAACGCAGCACTGAGGCCTGTATTTCTTTCTTTTTTCTTTCTTTTTTTTTTTTTTTTTTTCCCTCTCCTTGAGGCTAGGTTAGTTTTTGCCAGTTCTGTTTCCCCGTGAGCTTGCTCAGTGTCAGCACTGGGGGATCTACAGCATGGGGTGGACGCAGCCAAGTAGTAGATCCAAGCCGCCTGCTCTGGCAGCTTATTTAGCCCCAAGAAACAGGACAGAGAAGCAACTGTTGGTCCCCAAGCTCCCTGCAGAGACCCAGGGAAGGTCCAGACAGAAAAAAAACCTCCTGAAAGGCCTAAAAGCTTCAGGACATTGATGTGCCTGGTACTGACTGGGAACATTAGCTGTGGGTCACCCCTTAACAGTGGCTGATAAGGGAGAAAATACTGTGATTTTTCACCCCTACGGCTCAGTGCCCAACCTCTGCCCCAGGGCATCTAGGTGTCTGTCCTGGGCCTGGTCCCACAGCACCAGCCCCTTGTGCAGCAGCTCCCCAGGTCTGCAGGGCCCCAGGGGAGGTGTTTGGGCCACTGCCACCATGGGCTGCTAATTAACCAGCTCGTTACTGTTGGCACTGGTAAGCCAAGCGTTTCCCAGGGCTGACTTCTGGAAAACCAAGCTTGGCTCACGTCCCTCTCTGCCTGCGGCCCCTCTGCACTGCCTGACCCCGTGTCATCCGTCCCGTCACCTCCTCCGCCGCCTGTGTGTTTCCGTGCCCTGTCACCCAGCTCGGTGCTGTTTTTCCTGTGACTCAGCCCTAGTTCCTCATTAACCAGGTTACACATTTATTTCTCAGCCTGGTGCCGCAGAGCAGGGGGGGATGAGCGAGGCTGACGTCCCGTGCGCTGGGGGCTCGGCGTGTGCTGGCTAGCAGCAGCTTCATGGCGTTTCCGCCAGCTGGTCTCGCCTCTGCTGGTTGCTTTCGAGTCAAAAATCAAACCGCAATCCAAACAGCTCCAGGCTTTGGCAAGGGTTTTGTGTGTCTGCCTGTCTGTGCTTTTTGCGATCAAACCAGTCCCAGAGAGCGGGCAGAGCCGGTCAGGCTTTTCCCAGCAGGCAGCTTTCCAGGGCTGGGATGCGAGTCCTAGGCAGGATGCCCCGACTTAATCTGAAACTGATAACAGAAGCCCAGATTTGATCAGATGGATCTTATTGGGGATCTGTAGCTGTCGCTGCCAGAGCCAAGGTAGCTCAGCCTGAAATTTGAGTTATTTTTCTTATTTGCATAATGGAAGGGCATCACAGAGGTGGGAGAAGTGTAATGGAGTAGGGGAYGTGGCAGGCAAAGGGATGGGAGCGGGATCAGGAGGAGGCAGAGCCCAGCACAGCCCGAGCTTTGGAGGGTGCTCAAGGGCTCAGGGGCTGATGTCTCGCGCTGCACCCCAGGCCACGGGCAGTGCAGCTGYGGCGACTGCCTGTGCGACTCGGACTGGACCGGCGACTACTGCAACTGCACCACACGCACCGACACCTGCATGTCCAGCAACGGGCTGGTGTGCAGCGGGCATGGCTCCTGCGTGTGCGGCAAGTGCGACTGCACCCAGCCCGGCTCCTACGGAGACACCTGCGAGAAGTGTCCCACCTGCCCCGACGCCTGCACCATCAAAAAGTGAGTGATGCGCTGGCATCTGAGTGGGGACGGCTGCTGGTGGCGTCTTTGCACGCTGGCTGTGTCACTGCAGCAGCTCCGTTAGGCTGGGCCCTCCCGTGGGAGGACAAGTGATGGCAATGGGGTATCTTGGCTGTAGAAATGGGGCTCTGCTGTTGTGGATGGCCTCCCTGCCACTGCCAGCATCTCTGGTGCTCCAGGAGCATGGGGTTGTCCAGGGAGCCCCAAAGCAAAAGACACCTGAGTGAGAGCCCCCCATGCTTCCCTTTGGCTTCCTCTTCCTCAGGGACTGCGTGGAGTGCAAGAAGTTTGAGCGGGGTGACTTCGTGGAGCAGCAGTCCTGCAATCGCATGTGCCGCGACGAGATCGAGACGGTGCAGGAGCTTGGTGAGAGAGGGGACGAGGGACTTGGCAGGACTGGAGCGCTGCAGGCAGGACCAGACACACGCGACCTTGCCCCAAACCGCTCCTGGTCCCTGCATGTGCTTCGCGCCTGCCCGGTGCTGACGGCCTCTCGTGTCTGCAGGCGACAGGGGCAAGGACACCGTGAACTGCACGTACAAGGATGAGAACGACTGCGTGGTGAGGTTCCAGTACTACGAGGACTCCAGCGGCAAGTCCATCCTCTCTGTCATAGAGGAGCCAGGTACGTCTGTGCCCCGGGGGTCGCTGCTGGCTCAGGGGTGCCCGCGAGCCGCTCCGGGCAGCCCRATGATCCTGCGCCCTCTGTGCAGCCGCCAGCTCCTGCACCTGGGGCTTGGTCTGAGCAGGAAGAGCTGCCACTGGCGGCAGCCCAGCAGGAAGAGCCACGTGGGTGTTCCCCGCTTCCCCATCTTCCGTAAACCAGTCCCAGTGCCGGTTGGGAGAGCCGGAGGGACGGCCACCTGCTTCCTCTGGGCATGCGTCCACCTGGTAGCACGGCCCCGGGGCGTCCCAGGCTGTGTCTGATGCCGATGCTACATGGCAGCCAGTGCCTGCTACATGCCTGGGCTCTCCGGACCCGTGTCCAGAGGTGCTGCCCAGCTCCCAGCTGTGTCCTTTTGCTCCCAGGGCTTTCCAAAGCAGAGTGCTGCTCCCCATCCTGGCAAGGCACAGAGCTGGGGGGCTGCAGAGGGGTTGCAAGAGCCCTGCTGCTCCTTGCTCCACATTATCCCAGGCTGYAATTCCCTGATCTCCCTCCTTTCACAGCCCGATGCTCCTGAGATGTCCTCAGAGGTCTCATTAGCAATGCAGAAGGAATGCTTCATTTCACGAGCCAGGCAGAGCTGGAGGGAGGGGACGTGGCTGCCTCCCACACAGAGYGGCCCGGGGTCCTCCCACAGGCTCCAGTGCTGCTTCCCGGCCCAGCCGGTCGCCCGTGCTTCCAAAGTCAGTCAGCAAAGCAGCTGCCGGCTCCAGTTACAGCCACCCGCTGAGTCTCCCTGTGCTGGCCGTTGCCACTGCTGGTGTCTGATTTTCATCCCAGAGAAGAACTTGGTGACCTGGAGAGACCTCCAGCCTGTGGCTGAGCATGGGCATAGGCTCCTCCTGTGGGATCAGGAGCCCTTGGCAAGCAACAAGCACCAAGACCGTATCAGGCAGGCAGGGTCAGGCAGGCCAGAGGGCAGCCCCTGTGAAGCTTTGGATTCTCTGAGCCCATATAACCCTCTCCTCCTTCCCCCAACAGAGTGCCCGAAGGGTCCGGATATCCTGGTGGTCCTGCTCTCCGTGACGGGCGCCATCCTGCTCATCGGCCTGGCTGCCCTGCTCATCTGGAAGCTCCTCATCACCATCCATGACCGGCGGGAGTTCGCCAGGTTTGAGGAGGAGAAGGCCAGGGCCAAGTGGGACACGGTAAGAGCACGTGGGGTCCTGTGTGCCAGGCAGGAGCCCCAAGTGCCAGGAGTTAAATTTGAGGTCTGAGCAGATCCAGACCCCAGCRTTCCTGATTGCAGAACCTTGTCCCTGTCTGTGCTCCCCTGGGGACATTTGTTAGGGACCTCTTCCCTGTACCTGCTGCCATGCCTGGGGACACACACAGGGAAGATGTCCCAGATGCTCCCCCGCCTCCGGCGCCTCCCAAGCACTGGGCACTGGCGTGATGCTCTTACTCACTGCCCACGCCAGTGTTTCCACCCCGTGAGCGCTGAGGAAGGTCCCTCTGGCCACGGGATGCCTGGAAGAGCTGAGGCACCCAGCCCACAAGGACAGGAGCCATGGCGTCATGGGGACACGTCCCCTCCCTGCTGAAATGGCACATCCCCGTGCCACCCCACCGGGCTGAAGCCAAGTGCCAAGAGGCATCGCTCTTGTCTGTTTTTTTCCCTCCAGGGCCACAATCCTCTCTACAAGGAGGCTACGTCCACCTTCACGAATATCACCTACCGTGGCAACATGTGAGGATGCCCATGGCCACCCTGTCCCTTCCCAGCACTGGCCGTGGGACCAGTGAGGAGTGCGGAAGCCTCTGGAGTGGGGTTGACGGGACAGCTTGCATGCTGTGCCTGTGTGCGAGTGCGCCTGTAATTTAACAACCCCTCAACCAGCTCTGGGACCCTGCTGCCCATTGCTGCTGTCCCGCGGGGATGTCCTCTCCACGGTCAACATCATCTATACCTCGACGGGCCGCCTTGGAGGCCCCTCCACGCACTGAACAAGGAGGAGGGGACTCTGGCTGCCTGGCAGGGCTGTGAAAGGTTGGGTGCTCATGAGGCCAGGGGGATTCTGGGAGCTCCCCACATGGCCCACGCTGGAGATGCTATGCCTGCCCGGGGACATCCCACGTTGATCTGCTGGATCCCTCATGCACTGGACAGATCTTCGTCCTTGCGGCTGCAAGAGCTCTGGGTCACGGTGGCCACGCTTGCCACTCTCTGCACGGTGCTTTACAGGCTGAGGTTGCTCGTTGGGTAACCTGGTAGCCCTGGACTTCTTGTAGCCACCCATTTCTGGCACTGCTCTGGTCCTCAATCCCTGCCCACACACTCAGGTTGCATCAGCAGCCACCTCCATGTAGCATCAGCTGTGCTGGTCCCAGCTGCCACCAGGGCTGGGCCCTCCCACGCTGCCTGTGTCCCCGCACCATGAAACGCAGGGCAGGTCCTGTAGCAGCCACAGCTTCTTTTTTTATGAAAGGAAAATTAAAAAGGGGGGGCCTGGTGCCACCTTGTTCAGAGCTTGGCTCTGCTGCCTGTGCTGCTGCAGCTGGAGCCCGCTGGGTTTCTCACATTCCCTGCACACCCAGACCTCATGGGTCACCATGGACTTCCTGCTGTGCCCAGCAATGCCCAACCCCAGCCCAGGGCACAGGGACTGAGTTCTGGTTATCTCCGGATCTTTTGCTCCTTCTCCAGCAGCAGGGGGACCACCGGCATCCTGGACCGACATGGAGCCATGGGCAGGGACACTGCAGGAGCTGTGGCAGCTCCAGAGTCTGCCCTGGTGGCTTCTTCCACCGCCGGTGGCTTCCCAGGACACCAAACAAAAAGCCTCAGGCCACTAACAGTGTCACTGTCCCTTCGTGGGCTGTGCTTCTCTCCTGCCTTGCAGGCTCCCAGCGCCTGACACTGACTCTGCGTCATGAGCGCTGGTGGCACCAATGTGGGACCTGAGCTGCCCCCTGGGCCCCAGCAGGCTCTGGGGACCCTGTCCTTGGGTGCCTCCCGCTCGAGGTCCCTGTGCTGGGGCCTGGGGAAAAGGGTTGGCACCGTCAYAGTGCTCAGGGCCACCACCATGAGGAGGGAGCACAGCCAGTGGCTTGCAGGGAGGAGAAGGGGGGCGGCGATGGGGATGCTGATCCCAGCGCAGCCGTGGGAGCGGGAGGGAGAAGCTGGTCCTCCTCTGGGAGAAGCGGAGGAGCTGATCCAAGCAGGGCAGCAGGATCGGGATAGAGCAGAGCCCACCCGCAGAGCCCACCCCTGTGTGCCCACGGGCACCGCGGCAGTGTCACCATGCTTGGGGCTGYAGGGACACCCAGCGGCCACCTCAGAACAGTGTGATGGGACAGCGGAGAAGGAGTCCACAGAAGGGGCTTTGGCTTGGCCACTGCTCCGCAATGGGTTGCCAGCCCCATGGCTGCCGGCAGGGCAGAGATGGCACCTAACAGGCACACCGCCATCCTGGCCTTGCTCTGCAGGTGGCCCCTGCGAGGCCACGTGTGGTCAGTGGGTTTCCCGTCCCAGGGAGGCACCTGGGGCAGCCCTCAGTGCCCCCAGCTGTGCTGGGGAGGGCCCCGGGGCTGCTATTTCCCCAGCCCAGGGGCTCCAGCTTAGATGGGGTGCTCTGGCTGGGAGGTGAGGGCTGTTCCTGCATCCCCATGTGCTGCATCGAGCCCCATGAGGGTGTGATCCTGCTGGATGCCCAGCGTGGGGTCCAGCAAGCTCAGCCAGGGGAAGCACTGGAGCTGCTGGATTTGGGTGCTGTCCCTGTCCTTGTGCCGTTCTGCACTTTGGAGGCCCTGGGAACCGTGCTGGAATCAACGCTCATGGTTAGGGGAACGCTGCACCAGGGAATGCCCTGTGGCACCCTGTGACATCAGAACGAGTGGTGAGTGGGGACGTTCCGCAGGCGGAGTGGGGACACAGGGCAGGACTGGCAGCAGGTGCCCGCGGGGTGAGACAGCACGTGCCCACATGGGCATCGCAGGGCTCCATGTGTCCTGCTCAAGGGTCCGGAAAGGGGTTGGGGTGCCCAGGGCTTTGCAGTCGGGGTGCTGTGACATCCCCGTCCCCGCAGGGTGGAGTCGCGGCCAGAGGCGCCAGCCGAGGGGGCCATGGAGCCGAAGCCTCCCGGCCTCGGGGCAGGCGGGCAGCCTCGGGGCAGCTCCACGCAGGGCAGAGATGCGTCCTGGTGCCCCCGTGCCGCCACGGCGCCCAGCGCCGCCTCCGCCACCACGAGGGCCTCCGCGGCCGGCAAGAGCCTCAAGTGAGTGCCGGGCAGGGGGTCCCTCCCAAACATCTCCGCCATCCATCGGCTGTGGAGAGGGGGTGATGGGACCGTGGCCGCCGCAGGTGGGCCGCCCCGGGGCACCTGGCGCTCACCGCAGAGACGTTCCCGTCGCAGCAYGTGCCGAGCCGCAGGAACGTGGCCCAGGTGGAGGAAGGGACGCAGGTGAGGGAAGCCTGATTTGGCTCCTGGAGATCTGTGTAGGGATGGGGGCACCACGTCCCTCCGTCCCCCTCCCTGGGGGTCAGCCTGAGCTTGACGGCAAGGATGTTCCTTGCCCTAGACCACCCCTTCCCTCGAGATGCTCCTCAAGCAGCAGTGGTCACTGGGCAAGAAGAGGAGGAAGAGCAGGGAGGGGACCCACCGGGACGGGACCCACCGGGACTGGAGCTCCAAGGAAGGGACCCATCGAGACTGGACCCACCGGGATGGGACCCACCGGGACTGGAGCTCCAAGGAAGGGACCCACCGGGATGGGACCCACCGGGACTGGAGTTCCAAGGAAGGGACCCACCGAGACTGGACCCACTGGGACAGAAACCACCGGGATGGGAGCTCCAAGGAAGGCATCCACCAAGAGTGGACCCACAGCCAGGCTCGGCAGCAGCGTCGCGCTTCCCGTGCCAGCTGTGACAGGGAAATGTTCTCCTGGGTACCGTCATCCAGTGGTCTCATCCCCACTGAGGATGACTGCAGCAGGGTGCTGGGGATGCTGGTGACTGATGAGCCCCAGGGCAGGTAACATGGGGAGCCGCAGATTCCAACACTTGGGTTCAGGAGCCAGCGCCTTGTGGGTCCCCCAGGCGAGGGGACGGGCACTCACGGCTGACACTCAGTGTGTGGCTGTCTGCTCCCTTGATAGGAAGAGCAAAGTCTCCCACAACCTCTACCCAGACAAGGGGGGAGAAGAGGAGGACCAGGATGTGCTGGAGAAGGAAGGTAACCCCCTGTGTTCATCCCATTGCAAAGCAGCTCGAGCAGAGCCGGCTGCCACTGACATAAGGAGCATGAGATGCACCCTTGAGTGTCTCTGTCACATCCCGGCCACGCAGAGGTCTTGGAGGTCCTCACATCCCCTCACCCGTATCCCGCAGGCCTGCTGCCGGYGGGACTCATCTCTGGGGCCGGGCGGATGCGGGCGCAGGACCTGCCACGGGCGCTGCAGGCGCTGGGGTTGCCGGTGGGCGGTGCGGAGCTGCGGCGGGCACTGGAGCTCGTCCCCGAGGATGGTGAGCGCCGGTGCTGGGCCCCATGGGCTGCGCGCCGGGCCCCGTGCTGACCGCCGCCGCTCGCCTCTTGCAGAGCACGGGACCCTCGACTTGCACGGCGTCCTGGGCGCGCTGCGTCGCACTGGCGCCGCTGCTGCTGTCTCCGAGGGTGAGCTGGGCTGGGAGTCCAAATCCATGGAGTTTTAGTCCATTGGAACTCTGCTAAACACGGCTTTCTGCTTGGAAGCTGCTCCTTCCCAGCCTCGCGGGATCAGTTCATCCCAAAGAGGCTAAAGCCAAACACTCTGCTCTTACCTGCTTCCCTTCCCTTGAGTTTTTCTCTTCTCTCGCCCTCCTGCTGCTTGCAGTTTTCCAGCCCATCTACGAGACCTTTGGCAAGCTGAAGCAGGGCTCCATCGCTGCTGCCGACCTGCAGCCTGCGCTGCTCAGCCTGGGCGTCCACCTGCCGCCCGTGACGCTGCCGGGCGCCCGCAGCGCCGACAACGTCCCCGAGTGGGTGACAGTGCTGGGCACAGCCCCCGCGCAGCAGGGTAGGGGCAGCCGCGTGGCCTCGGCACATTCACATGCATTCAGCCACACAGGAGGTGCTTGCAAGCCGGGAGACAGCATTTCCCAGGGCACTGAGCCCCAGGACCACAATTAGGGCCACATCTGTGGTTTTCATTCCCTTTGGCCCAGGGAAACTGAGGTACGATTGAGACTGCCCCGAAATATGGGTGCATTTATCATCTATTTCATCCCTATGAGCAGAGTGTCTTCTCAGAAAATTCTTCCCTCAGCCTGGTGCCAGAAGTGGGAAAACACCTATTTCTGTTGCAAACGTTGTGGATAAATAAATACCACTATGGGAGCCGGTGACCTTCTGGGTGTTTTCTGTGGGCTCCGCAGCCATGCAGGATGCTTTGGAGCCCATCAGCAGGATCGAAGTAGACAGTATTGAGGTCTCAAAGCTGCGCTACATCCTCCAAGCCATGGACATCCACCCAACAGAGCAGGAGTTTGAGGAGGCTCTGAAGATGGTGCCTCTGGAAAGTGAGTCTCGTAAATGCCCTGCCCTCCCCAGGGTCCCGCAGGAGGGGACATGTCCTTGTCTCCCACGTCCTTGTCTCTGCGCCCCTGCACAGAGGGTGACAATGTCTCGCACTGGTTCTACTGGTGCAACCGCATGCATGGAGGCAGTGCCATGGGACACGGGAGCTGCCACCTTCCCATTGATTCCCATCAATGAGGAGACGCTCAGCTTGGGCCAACCAGGGATGCTCTGATATTGCACTTTCTGCCTGCTATTTGACTCACAAACATCTGTTCGCTTCTCTGCCCCTTTCTCCATGTCCTTCCCCCCATGCTGGGGCTGGTTGGAATGGTGCAGAAGACAGGACAGTGAACCTRGCTGCTTTCATGACTGCCCTGAGCAGCACCCAACATTCGTCTGATCCCCTGGGTGAGTGGGGACACATGGGTAGTGGGCTGGGGATGTGGCTTAAAACCCCTCCATGTGCCCTGGTGTGTGTTCCCACCCTGGTTCATGTGTCACCAGCTCAGCAGCAGGTCTGCACGCTCTTGTAACTGGTGGCAAAGGGGACTGAGCCTGTGCTTTGGTTCCAGATGGCTCCTTCTCCATGTCGGCAGCACCAGAAGACACTGTTGGTGACACCAGTGGTTTTGAGGATGA